GTTCGAGGATATGAAGACAAATCATGGATATTCAATGAGTATAAACTTAGTAGGCACAACCAGTGTCGACCTTTGCAGATGGACTGAATCACATGAATATCGAATATATGGGCCAGCAGTGAATATCATGTTGAATACCACATTAACGTCCCTGCTATTAGATCTTCCGGACTTTCATAAATTTTGAATTTTGTTAGGTTGTTAATGATTTCTATCTATTTTAGTTGTCGGTTACATTTTCAATAAATCATTACCAATTCGATAGAGAGTTAGTATCTTTTGTCTTCAGTGTTTTTTTATCTCGACCCATTTTCTGCTATCATGAATATCACAACCATATAGATCAATAGATCTTGAAATGCTCTATTCAATAATATAATGTTTTATTTAGAAATATCTTATTACATCGAAAAGCACGAAATACAGTCTGAAAAATTCATTTAGTACCCTAAGGTTTGTCATGTATGAAAATATAATCAGGGACCAAAATTTGAATGAAATTAGTTTTTCCGTATTGTTTTTTTCACATTATGAGGTACAAATATATAGATTTTTCATAATAAAAGAACTTTTTACTATGCAACAACGGATTTACATGCCTTTCAGCATTTCGTAATTTTTAACAAAGAGATTTGTTCTAAAATGGAATTGAATTATAAGAATCGATAGAGCATTTCACGCTCTATCAGTTTATAAGAGAATTTTTTTTCCTTGAATTGATCTTCATCTCCGAAATTTGATTTTAGTAAGGAGAGTAAGAATTATTGTCGCAGCAAAAGAACCAAGAAAAAACAAGCAATATGCGCTCCTCAAAACTTTCTTGAGGGTGTGGGTGTGGGTAGGTGTGGATGTGGGTGTGAGTGTGGGTGCGGGCGTGGATGTGGGTGTGGCCGTGGGTGTGGGCGTGGGTATGGGTGTGGGTATGGCTGAAAACAACACATACCAACACCGACACCCACACCCACACCCACACCCACACCCACACCCATAAAATAAAAGTAGTAATAAAAAAAACCTGTTTTGCACACGTCTCAGTTCGATTGATGAAATAAAAAGTTATTCTTTTTTTCGTTCATATTCGACCTCGGCTTAATATTTATACTGACTTTTTTTTATGGATGATTGGTAAAATATTGATATTCTTTTTCTTTTTCTTTTTGGCAGTCTTCTTCGTGGCAAAGATGAATCGACATAGTTCTCTTCTCTTTATCTTCTTCTGTATTATCTCCAGCAATGGCGGAACTATTCCACTTCATCGAAAAGATTTTTATGGTTTTGATCCAATTCATATAGGCTACATAAAAGACAGCTGGAATGTCTTCTTCAACAATCGTAAAGTTGCTGATGTATCAGCACGTTCATTTCAAGATCTTGACTTTGGATATGGCAAAGATAATTGGAACGTGTTTTACCTCGGCAATAAAATACCGGATGCAACATCACGCTCATTTGAAGTACTTCAGCCTACACTGGGTATACCAAAGATACGTGGAATGTGTATTATCTCGGCAAGAAAGTGCCAGATGCTACATCTCGTTCATTTCAATCGATAGGCAATGGCTATGGCAAAGATACCTGGTCAATATATTTTAAAGGAAAGAAATTGCATTGATGTCTCTGATGAAGGATTTTCGACTTCATTCAAATATTATATTTTTGCAGTTCAATAGTTTTTATGAACAAATAAAAATATGAACCAATTGTGCATCATATTAGAAGAAGTTACAAATGAAAATGATCGAATATCATGATCAAAGTCACTGATTATGCGAAGTACAGGGTGACCAGAAAGGTATATAACAGTTGTTTTTAATTATAACTTTTTATTATGACAATTTCTATTTTCTAAACTTATATTATTTTTGTTGACAAAAATATAGCGGTTTAAAAATAATACGGATAAGGTTAGTGAGAACCTTTGCTAAGTATCACTATTGGCGTCAACGAGAAAATTTTACTTGGTCACAAATAGAAAAAAACACTATACGGGATAGTGCAAAAGTCACTTTATCGGAAAACAAAATTGAATATCTCCATTACGGTTCCAGCAAACAAACTGATTTTTTTTTTACCAAAGATAAAGGCATGCTCACACTTCAAATCCATATGGATGAGATTAGTGTAAACCTATGATAAGTATATTGTTTTCTTTTTCTATTTGTGAACAAGTAAAATTTTCTTGTTGAAACCAATAGTGATAATTAGCAAAGGTTCTCACTAACCTTGTCCGTATTATTTTTAAATCGCTATATTTTGACAACAAAAATAACGTAAGTTTAGAAAATAAAAATTGTCATAATAAAAAGTTATAATTAAAAAACAACTGTTGTATACCTTTCTGGTCATCCTGTACATATGTCCTTCAAAGATTCGTTCTAAAAACTGGGCTACGAATGGAAATGCGCTCTTCAGATTCTTTGACACTTAATTGCAATCTGTTGTTTCTTTGACGGTGATCACCTATGTCCTCATTCTAAATGAAATCTAGTTTGAATTACCTTATGAAAGTAATTTTTCCATTTCAATATAGTGAAGAATTCTAGAAATTTCCAGAACTAGACACTAAATAATTCTCATTTATATATATTTCGTAGCATCTCAAGAGTGAAAGTGAAAGAAGATAGTATGTAGGTATGGGTGTGGATGATTGTTAAATATCAATGGTAAATAGCTTTCATTATTATCTTATTTCGATTTAAATCGAGCATTATTATTTATTGCTGGCTCATATATTTGATCACCATTTCGTAGTCTTGTACCACAACTTAATCAACTAATCGTTTTTTCTCAAGATCGTGTTGATATGATCACTGCTTATATTGAAGAAGTTCAGGCAGTTGAGGGTGTGGGTGTGAGTCTTTTCTTCACCCACAGCCGCACCTACACCGTCATCAAGGCTTGTGTAGAAAACAAAATTTGATTTCTTCCTAACAATCCATGAATATTCTCGCTTGTTAAGAACTGAAATCTCTCTCTCTTCTGTTTGCTCTCTTTTGCGACAATCGGTCATCTCTTCTATCATTACCATAAGTTAGGAAGATAAAAAAACGAATTGCAACAATTACCGTGCCAAGTAAGCCTTTTATCGAGAAAAACAATTTGGCCTCAATCGCGGTTCAACTAAAAAGATGAGTATCACTATTGGTACAAATGTCATGAGAATGAAGTGGGTATGTATATGATATGAACATTTTCCATGATCATCAATCAAGTCAATTTTCTTTGAAAGGAACATTCTATATTACATCGTCATCGTCCGATTGTACATAGACAAGTGCGCTGTTACATCGGTCAATGTATTGTAGGGTCATGCATCACGGACTATTCATTTTGATTGTTCTGTTTTTTTTTCGACGAATAACTCATTGATAAATTGACCTTGTAACGATTGAGAATATGGACTATTTTCTTTTTTCCTACACATACATTGTTGCAGGTATGTCAATCATGCAGAGTTTTTCTTTTCAAAAGGAACCAAAAGAACAATTCATTTGTTCGAGTTGAAAGGTATTTAGCCATATTGTCTGTATATAAAAAAAAATCTTGCAGTTATGTTCCGATTACATGATTAAAATTAATCTTCAGTGATTGAATTTCTTTTAAGTGATGATAGTCTATGAACAACAACAGAATAGTTCGAAGAAAATATTCCTCTTTCTGTTTTAGAACTTTCCATAACAATGAATGACTATATAGTTTTGTCCATCGAAACACTTCCCAACGAAGTATGGCTCAAAATATTTTCTTACATTCATATTGGCGATATTACTCGTGCTTTTCTTCGACTTAATAATCGTCTGACTAATCTCGTCTATTCACTGCCTACGACTATTTATCATTATGAAATGGGCGAGTCTTACTATAACTATGACTATCGCACTCCTGTAACTCACATCAGTATTCGTGATGGTCGTTCGTTTTCTTATTATGTCAATGCCCAACATCTCATTTGGCTTTCTCTCGATCGACCATCTCCAAAACAATTACAATTTCTTCAATCAACATACTTACCACGTCTCAAATATTTGCATTTCAATGGAATTGGTACTATTAACAATGATGTGGCTCAATTTTATTACACTATCTTCAAGTCAACTCGTATCAATACTCCATCACTTATTTCATGTTCATTACCTTCGATTTCTTCACTCAATTGGAATTATTTCACCGGAGGAGGATCGGCAATAAACCATACACTTCGTTCGTTAACACTTATTGACGATTATCATCTTCAGTCATACAAACTCTTTCGTTCTGTACCAAATTTAACTCATCTGACTATCAAACGAGATGTAGTTCAGAACGAATCATTCATTGATATTACTCGACAATTTGGCATTCGTCGTAAACATGTCTTAATACATCCAGAGGATGGCAGAATGAAGAAAGTAAAATGTTGGCTCATTCCAAAAATGTTTACGAACTGGTTACCTCATCTTCGTCGATTGAAATTTGAATTCGAATTGGATCCTGATATGTGGAACTTTCGAACTATAATTGTTGTTCGAATAAGCTGGATACGAAACTCTTCTTATTTAGCCAAAATCTATCGTCTTGTTTGAAAATACTTTTGTTTGTTTGTTTGTTTGAAATAAATAAAAACATGAAGTGACGTCTACTTTTTCTTTATTTACTGCTGTATTAAATCAAATTGACACGAGACATTCACTGGCTGTATTACTAGAATTTTTTCAAGCATCGTTGTCATTCCGAAAAGAAGAATTGAAAGATTATGACGAAGAAGTATTAATTTGATTGTTATAAAAGAATTGAATATGATGTTCATTTTTCAACAACCGATGGAGTTTGATTTAAAGAGGATTCATTCGATCAGTTATTAACTATTTGTACAGAAAAGATGAGAATGTTCCATTTCGAACAAGAATACAAACAAGAGAATCAAGTTGTCCTGCATTTCGAGTACGTTGATAGATGTTGTTTGCTTTACAAAGTTGTTGTTTGACTTTAGAATCGGCAATATTTTGGAGAATCTCAAGTTGTTAATCATTAATCTTTTGTTCTTGTCCATCGATTAACTCCAAAAAGATAACGTATTGAGATGGAAATACATCTACTTTCGGATACGTTGTGAAATCAAATAAGTCAATATGTATTCCTTGATCTCTCCATTGTTGAACGGTTTCTTTCAGAGCATACATTACATGTTGTTCAGTTGTTTTATCTTCAAACACATTCAAAAGAGATCCAAGACGATATACAATGGAAATAGGAAGAATTCGAGGAATCTCTATTGGTTCTGAGGGTAATGGAACCAAATCATTTGTTCGACAAAGAAATCTCGTGCAATTGATTACATCACCCATTCGATATCGAACCAATCCGGCATCAGTTGTACAAACCAACTCATATCGATTTCTTGGTTCGATTTCTGAGATGAGAAGAGTTTTCGATTGATCCTAAAGGAAAAGAGAGCAAAATACTCAATCATAGAATAGAATCATCACGTAGGGTGTGGGTGTGGTTGTGAGTGTGGATGTGGGTGTGGTTGTGAGTGTGGATGTAGGTGTGGTTGTGAGTGTGGGTGTGGGATTCTGCTTTCCACACCCGCACCCGCACCCGCACCCCACTCTCACCCACATCCACACTCACACCCACACTCACCCACACCCGCACCCACCCACACCCCACACCCACGCTCACACCCACATCCAACATATTATAGGGATTTCATTTAATTTAATACAATATCATAATTCAATGTCAATCGATGATTTATAGATTGAAAAATGATAAATGAATTCGAATGAAATAGAATATCTTGGCTTAATAAATTCTGTTCGATTTTCTTCTTAATTTTTGATAATGAATTTAAATAATACACTATAGTTGATAATTATTTTTTTGATGAAATACTTTCACATGTCTTAGGAATATGTATACGCTGAGAGAAGGATCAAAACATGGGAACGAAGCCTTGTAGACTAGTAGAAGCCTTCTAAATGATTCATTACAGTGAGGGAATATGAGCTTGTTTGTTCATTGATATATATTGAGCTTCTTTGATTGTATATTGATCTATGTTAATAAAAGAACAAATTGACATTTTTAAAAATAAAGCAATATTCATTTGAGAGAATCTATTTTTGATGACATTAGTCAATATGTGAAGATTACTATTTTATTCAAATCGATTTCATTGACAGTTTATTTTCATTGAGACAAAAAGAAAATATGTCCGTTATGTGTAAGCGTTTATTGAAAGATGCTATTTAATTAGATAATGAAAATTTTTCGAATAAAAAAAAAGAGAAAATAATTTATTTAGATATTTCGAATAGATTTATTTGTCATGATAAGTTATATTGTTTTGTTTGTCTTAATATACTTATCAAAATATCTGTTATCTATATGAGAAAAACTTTTTTTCGAAAAAAAACAAGCGAAACATTTTTCTTTTTTTATTAAAACAAAAGAAAAAAAAGATATGTCAACCGGTTAGACGATATGTAGAGAAAAAAAACAAAACAAAACGATTACATGTTTATAGAAATAAATAGACACATGTTATTTTCTTATTTTTGACTCCCATAGATAAATCTACCTGACAGAAAACATTCTTTGTCATATGAACGTTTTTTTTTGTTGTATTGAACGGATCTATTTATCTTCACTCGACATTCACATAGATCACTAATAATCTTTTTCATACGATATAAAGTTCGCTTTTTCTAAACTCGTTGTCATAAAAAAGTCTTGAAAATTCAGTCGATTAGATAGAGACTCTTTCGCATTGGTTAGACAAAAATGCCAACCGATCCCATCTCTAGCACACTGTGCGTCAGTAAACTTTTATTATAATATATCAACGAATGCCTTTTTGCAACTATTGAACATGAAATAAAAGAATGTTGAGAAAATACATATCAACACAGATAGCATAAAAACAGGGTGTGGCCGTGAATATGTAGATAGCTGTTTTTTCATTCACACTCTGGACGAGTTCGTGGTAAAAATATTCGAATCTGATGATAGTTTAACCTATGTCAAATAATATATCCAAAAAAGAATTATATTAATTAAAATATTTACATTGCAAATAATAAATTATTATAACTATTTTGTGAAACTATTCTATGATACAATTGAAACAGCTCGTTTAAAAATAACGCCAACGTGTTATACGAGAAAACATAATGTAGTTGATCGGGGTACCATAGTATTTGATTAATCTTTATTGTATTTTTTATTTTTCTATTTCTAATTATATATAGTTTATATGATCTATTCTGAAAACTACAAAATAAATGTCTTTAAATAGGAAAAGAAAAAGTTTCAATTAAATAATGCTTTAAGTATATCGTCGAAATCCTGTTCTGTATGTCAATCCATCACGTCTAATATCAGTAAATACACCTGATGATGTAAAACTATTTCCGCGTGTAGTTGTATACATTGAAGATGATGACATCGGAGGCGACTACAATAAAAAGTTTATATAATTATTTCTGAAAGTTCTTCGTATTGAAAAAAATTTACTATATCTTCTGTAACACCAAAACGACGAGCCTCTTGAACAAGTGCTGTTGGACTTAAAAGTGTTGATCTATAACGAGCTACATAAGCATCAGGATTTTCTTGAGTAACACCAAGGTTTTCAAATCGTCGAATTAAACGTGTTCGAACACCCTCATAAATAATAATTTTATGAAATGGTCGTGGATATTCTATAGGAGGAGGAGCAGATTCTACAATTGTACGACGTTCAGGTGGAGGCCCATAGGGAATCCATCGCTCAATTATAATATCGCCTAAATAGCATAAAAACAATAGATTAGAATTTAAAAAAAAGCTGTTAGCGCAATCCCTTGCGGGATTAAAAATGTGAAACACGATGAACCTATTGTTACTAATTAAATGGAAATCCTTTTGTGCCATGTCCTTACGAGACATTTGGAGCTAACCGTATATCTGATGTTTTACAACTACAGTTTCTCTGTCACGGTCTG